GCTTGTGCCATCTGTGTTCTAGTCTATGTTTGGGTCTTGGACAGAAATCAGGAAGCGAAAGTTCCTGAGATCTGTGAAAGATGCTATTTACCTTCGGAATGAAGGTCGGGTCTGGTCTAAGAACGACCCTGTCTTTGAAAAAGGTACACAGATCCTTCCTTACTGACAGTGCTGCTAGTTCTGAGATTCTTCTTGCTGAAGTAATTGCCACAAGGAAAGCTACCTTCAGTGATAGGTGATGGAGTGAGCATGTTTCAAGAGGTTCGAAGGGTGCTGATGTCAAGGCTAGAAGGACCTTAGGCAGGTTCCAGGACGGGTACCTGTGTATGACTGGGGGCTTTGTGTTAGATGCCCCTTTTAAAAAGGCATTAATAGCTGGATGCTGTGCTAGGGAAGTTAAGTTGTCGCAGGAGAGTACAGTTGAGAGGGCCGATATCTGTCTGCGGATAGTATTGACTGACAGGCCCTTATTAAGACCCTCCAGTAGGTAATCTAGGATATTGGGAATAGATACTGCGGTCGGGTCTAGGTGAAGCGAAGCGCACCACCTACAAAATCCCTTCCACGTAGCGTCATAAATCCTATTAGTGGACGCTCTTCGTGATGCCTGTATGATCGATATCACCCCTGCAGAATAAGATTGTTTAGTTAAGCTTTGCCGCTCAAATGCCAAGCGGCTAGTTGTAGCCACTGGGGATCTGGGTGTACAAGCTTGCCCTGACTGAGTTTTACCTTGTCCGGGGGGATCCTCCACGGAGGTGATATCGAAAGGTCCACGAGGTCGGCAAACCACGGGCGCCGTGGCCAGTGAGGGGCAATGCAGACCATTTCTGCGCCCTCCAGGATCATCTTGCGTATGGTTGCCGGTATTAATGGCAGTGGTGGGAAGGCGTACAGGAGTTGCGCCGGCCACCGGCACCTGAGAGCATCCGTTCCCTCCGATCCCGGGGACGGGAATCTGGAGAAGAACCTGGGGAGCTGTGTGTTCTTGTGGTTGGCAAATAGATCTAGGTGCGGTTGTCCGAACCTCCGGGAGATCTCCTCGAAGAGAGCCGGGTCCAGACGCCATTCCGACTGGTCCACCTTGGCTCTGCTCAGGGAGTCTGCCTGGGTGTTTGTCTCCCCTGAGATGTGTTCCGCTCTGATGGAACTCACATTGGCTTCTGCCCACCGAGACAGAGCCAATGCTTCCTTCATTAGTTCCACTGATTTCGTTCCTCCCTCCTTGTTTACATGCGCCTTGGCTGCTACATTGTCTGTAAGCACGAGGACGTGCCTCCTCGTTACTAGGTGTGAGAAATGACGGAGGGCCAGGTGTATGGCCCGGAGCTCTAGCCAGTTGATGCTGTGTGACAGGTCCTTCTGACCCCACTGGCCCTGTGCTATCTGGGTCCCCAGATGGGCTCCCCATCCGAACAGGCTCGCATCTGTCGTGAGCGTGACCCTGTTCGGTTCCCTGAATATGCTCCCCTTGAGTGTCATGGGGGATAGCCACCATTTTAGTGATTTCATCACCTGTGCTGGTACCGGCACTCTCCTGCTGGAGGTGCTGAGGTTCCTCCTCTGGTAGGGTAGGAGGAACCACTGCAACTCCCTCGAGTGGAGCCTTGCCCATGGGATGATGCCCATGCAAGATATCATCTTCCCCAGGAGCTTCGAGAGTTGTAGCAAGGGCACTCTCCTGATCTTTTGAATTTGGTGGATTAGCTTGGATATGCTGATCAGTCGCTCCTGGGAAAGGAATACCCTGCACTGTGACGTGTCTATCACCGCGCCCAGGTGTTGCAGTCTCCTTGAGGGAATGAGGTGGCTCTTGTTTAGATTGACCGAGAATCCGTGCCCCTGTAGGGTTCGGATCGTGGTCTTGAGATCTGCCCTTGCTTGTTCCTGAGATCTGGACTGAATCAAGATGTCGTCCAGATAAAACTGTACGCGAACCGGCATCAGCCTGAGATGGGCTGCTATTACAGCTAGGATTTTGGTAAATACCCTTGGTGCTGAAGATAGTCCGAAGGGTAAGGCCCTGTATTGGTTATGCCGGCCCGCGTAGGTAAATCTGAGGAATTTCCGGTAGCTGGGATGGATGGGAATGTGTAGGTACGCCTCTGTGAGATCTATTGAGGATAATAGATCGTCTTCCCTGACGCTGGCTAGGATGGACTTCAATGAGTGCATCTTGAACTTCCTGTACTTTATGAAATGATTCAGGCCCTTCAGGTCCAATATTGCTCTCCACCCTCCTGATGTCTTTGGAATAACGAAGAGGATGGAATAAAATCCTCTTCCCTCCTCTTCCTTTGGTACCCTCTCTATGGCTTGAATTGACAGGAGGTGAGCTATGGCCGAAGTTATCAGCCTCGTCTTGTGTACCTTTCTGGAGATGGGGCATCTGATGAACCGGCTTGGTGGGGGAGAACAAAAGTCTAAGGTCAGGCCATGCCTGATCGTTTCCAAGACCCAGGCGTCGGTGGTGGTCTGCTCCCAGACCTCGATGAAGTTTCCTAACCGACCCCCGATGGGAGTGTCCTGTTTGGCGTCACTTGGTACGCTTAAAGGATCTGCCTCCCGCTCCCCTATATGGGCGTCTGGACTGGAACTGGCCTCTGGCTCCCGGGCTTTGGCGATCCTGGGTTCGATCCTGTCTCGGATAGAAGGATCGTGAGCCTCTGGGCCAGTCCCAGGATTGCCCTGATCGAAAGGGCTGTCTCCATTCCCAGGGGCTTCCTGGGCGGGAGCCCTGTCTCCGGAAGTCCTGACTGCCTCTCCTGTCTAACTTCTTTGATGGATGCACTAGGATTTTTTTCTTGTCTCTGCCTTCGCTGACGTGTGGGTCCAGAATGGAACCAAACAGGGCTTCTCCACTGTATTTGGACGTCGAAAGACGCCATTTGGACCTCAGGTCTGTCTTCCAATTTTTGAGCCACAGTAGCCTTCGCGAGGCCACTGTGGCCGCAATGGACCTTGCCGCATACTTTGTTGCGTACAGTGAAGCGTCAGACACGAATTGAGAGGCCGCGAGGAGCTTGGCCAATGTTTGGTGTACTCTGACCTGGTCTGGAGGCACCGTGCCTTGCAGTTCCCTCAGCCACATGATACTGGCCCTCGCGAAGAATGATGATGAAGTGGCTGCTCTGGCCGCCCAGGCTGCGGCCATATGGGAACGCCGGAGGGAGTGTTCAAATTTCTTCTCCTCAGGTCTCAAGACCTCCGCCATGTCTCCTGGAATCGCGGAGGTAGAAAATAATGAGATCAAGGGGTTATCTACAGTGGGAACCTCTAACATGTTAGAGAAGGAGGGAGATAGGTTGAAAAGCTTTCTTTCCGCGCTGTTAGGTGCCGGTGGGCTCGCAAGTGAGGACCATTGTTCCTCCAGCGTGGTCATAAAGACCTCCGCACATGGGATGTACTTATCCTGTGGAACCTTTTTGGCAAATAGAGGATTGGCCTCCTTGCTTGTTGAGGGCTTCTCATCCTGTACTGATGTTAGGTTGACTGTGGAAACTGCCTTTATCAGGAGTGATTTTAGGAGCGCTGGGTTAAAGAGGCCAGAGCTTGTCGCCTGCTCAGGTGCGGTCTCCTCGTCCTCCGAGAGGGGCATGTCTGACATGTCCAGGTCTACTGAGTCACCCTCTCCCAATTGAGAGGAAGTTTCAGAGATGCTGGTAGGGGGCGGCCTAGCCCGTCCCTTACGGGGTGTGTGAAAGGCCACTTGCCCCTTAGAAGCCATGAACTGGGAGAATGCATCCTGCATGAATGCATGAAATTGTGCCGACCATATGTTCTCCTGCGCCTTGTCGTTGGGGTGAGGCGCTGGAGTGTGGTCGGGTGAAGAAGCTGGTGAGGAGGGATTGGAGGAATCTAACTGTTCAGTTTCCCCAGGAGGAGACCAAGTCTTGAGCACTTCCTCGGCAGTAGGTTCTGTGCTGGGTGCCACCCCTGGGACAGGGGAAACCAAATCTGTCCCATTGACATTGGTTCTCTGTGCTCTGCTAATTTGCCTTTCTAAAGCCAAATGTCTCCTCAAAGCCTCTCGCTCAGCCGTTTTGGACTGTCCCTTCTGAGAAAGGTGCTTTGTTTTAGCTTTCTTCTTCCCCCCCACCTCTGATTCAGAAGATCTGCGTTTTTGTTGTTGCTGTGGGGGGGACAATTGAGGGACCTGTGTGACTGAATACGAGACATTGTCTGCCATTGTGCCAGACACCCCGAGTAGGCAATGCCTGGAAAGGGGGAATGAGATACGCAGATCAGATGCAGATGCTTGGGGCTGTGCCCTCTTCTGCCTATACAAACAATGGCCGGACAGACAGGAATCTTTGGACAGAAGATCCTGCAAGGCAGTGACTAAAGGTCACTATAGGAACAGTTAGGAAAAGAAAAAATATTCCTCCTCACCTCCTCACCTAGTCCAGACAAAAGTACAGTTTATATCTCTCTCTCCCCCGGTCTGTGGCTGTGGTAGCAGACCACGCTCAGAACTGATAGAGGTTCTAATCTTTTATTCCTCTTCCTTCCTCTTGCCCAAGTGTCTTAATGTAAAGGAAAAAAGCGGCGGCTAAACTGCTTGTTTAAAATGGCGAATGGGAGGAAGCCCCGCCTCCCAATAGTAGCCGGATGAGCCACGAGGCTCCAACAATGGCGGGTCTTTAATAGCCAGCAATAGGGTAATTAACCGGCTTGAATGGCTCTTTTGTCCTTAAGGGGGCTGTGCCTCTCCGCTGGGGGAGAAAAAACGGCGCTGAGGCTCTGCCGGTCGGTTTGGGCGCGCTGCGCTTCTCGCGCCGCTCAGCTGATCAGCGCTCTGTTTTCCCGCGCCGCTCAGCTGTTTGGCGCTGAACGGCGCCTCAGCTCCTCCGCCGGACCGAGTGGCCTCCGTGCCACTCAGCTGCCCGGCGGGTGGTCCGGGAAATGTCCCCGCGCCAAACAGCTGTTTGGCGGGATCCGCGGAAGATCCACTGACCGGCCCGAGCCCCCCTGGCTAACCGCCCTGGCGATCCTCTCACCACTCCGACGATCCTGGCTGGGAGGCGTCGGTGTTCTATTCCTCTGCCCGGGATCCCTGCCTGCTGCAAAAAGGGGAGGAAAAAAAAAAAAAAACTGGAAGAGGATATTCTTTTCTTTGTGAAAACTCTTCTTTCCTAAGAGCTGCTTCTCGCACTTCTACCAGGCTTCGAGACTGAGTCAAAACTGGGGTCACGCCCAAAGGAAGGGGTGTGGCCGAAGTTTTTACCCAGTCTGCCAGGCAGGAAGGCCGTCATAGAACCCATCCATTTGGACTCCATTTAACTGGCTGAGTTAATCTAATGGGCAGGAAGGCAGAGCTAACCCATTGGTGGATTCTCCATCTCTGGTGCTGGAGAATTATATATTACCTTACAAAAACCTTTTGTGATAAATTATGGGATTTCCTTTCAGAGTATAAGAGATGACAATATTACACTGAGATGTTTGTGATGATGGTTAAGAAAAAAAGACAGTGAGAAAATGGGGTAGATAGGCTAATGGGATACATTGTGCTGTGAACTGTAGAGGGGAGGAGAAGGTGATTGACATTAGCTTTGCCCTCTTTGCCTCATCCAGATTTCATTTAAACGAGAGTTCTAGATTTCAGTTCTACTAAAAAAGCATGACTGATCAGAAATAATGTGGCATAATATTTGGAACACTGTGATGTTTCATATCCAAAACAACTTTTTTCCATTAAAAGTGTATACCTATGTTTCACTATTTTTTTTAAATAGTTACTTTAAAATTCCACTTAAGGTTAAATGACTGAGCATGTCTACAATGGTGCAAAGCAGAACAGGTACTTGTTCTGTTCATCACTAAACATCAAATCAAGTTAAGATAAAATTAGTAGAATTTTAGATGTAATTTAATATATAAATTCAATTTCTTACTATTTATAAGAACTGAAAATTGGCAATTACACCCAAGTGATCACAATTTATTTAATTTCCATTTGAACTTGATTATACTAATCCATACCTTGAGTTGCCATTTTTTTATATTCCAAGAACTGGGGTCTGTTGCACTTCAGACCCTAAAACAGAAAGACAGAAATGTAATTAAGTTAACTTAGTTTTAAGTTTCTGATTATAAAATCAAGTAAACGTTTACTTGAGAAGCAAGCAGCATAATTTATTTAGAGAAAGAGTTCTTAATCTCTTTGGGGCAAAGACCCTTTTAAGAATCTGGTGAAACCTGATTCCTTAAGAAAAAAAGTAGTAAACACATAATATAATTGTTTTAAAGGAAAAAACTGTGCCCAAATACAGTTATCAAAATGTTAAAAATTAATGCAAATAATTTTAGATATATTGTAGTTAATGATTATTTTTGGAATGGAGAGACAATAAATTGCTTTATTGCCTATATTCTTTACTGAATTAAAGCTAAATTCAGTTAAAGTTTAGTAAAAAATAAAATAGTAATTTCTTTTCCTATCCAAGTTGTCAACTCTCAAAATCTATGGACCACTTGTTAATACTCTGATTTAGAGGCTGTCAGATATACAAAGCTACTAGCTGGACAAATAGAATAGAATAGAGCTGGAAGGGACCTTAGAGGTCTTCTAGTCCAGCCCCATTTATGTACTCCATTTATGGAGTACCCATGATTTCTGGGGGTAAGCAGTTCCACTAGTTGATTGTCCTCACTGTCAGGAAGTTTCCCCTTAATTCCAGATTGCTTCTCTCTTTGATCAGTTTCTAACCTTTGTTTCTCGTCCTTCCCTCTGATGCTTTGGTGAATAACCTGGCTCCCTCTGCCTTGTGGCAGCCTCTCAGATACCGGAACATTGCTATCATATCTCCCCTATTTCTTCTTTTCTTTAGACTAGCCAAACCCAAGTCCTGTAGCCATTCTTCATGTTTTACTCTCCAGGCCTTTGATCATCTTAGTTGCTCTTCTCTTAATTTTTTCCAAACTTTCAACATCTTTTTTGTGATATGGTGACCAAAATTGGCTGCAGTATTCCAGGTGTGGTCTTACTAGGGTTTTATAAAGCAGTACTAATACTTTGCGTGTTCTTGATTCTATGCCTCTGTTTATACAACCTAGGATTGTATTAGCTTTTTTGGTTGCTGCTGCACACTGCTGGCTCATAGTCATGTGATCGTCCATTAGGATTCCAAGGTCCCTCTCACAGTTAAGCCAGGTCTTGCCCAATCGGTATTTGGTAAGACTGGAGTTGCCGCTTTATAGAGATTTTATTTAAAGTAGTGGATGCTTGCTGGGTACTGTATATAACTGTTTCTCAAGTTAAGTTTATTTTGCTTCCTTCCAAAGGAAACCAAGCCCAAATAGAGTACGTCATGGAACAGCTTATTGCTCAAAGACATGGGATAAGGACTTGAAAAGGTATGTATAGGAAACTCAAGTTATATTCACATTCTGCTGGACAAAAAAGCATATATCTCTAACATGCCCTTGAAACACTTTATATATCAAAATAATTTCCTTGCTGTCATATTTCCAAAAGTAAAACTTTCTACTATACTCTAGGAGTATTTAGGGAAGCAATATTAACATTGTAATAATTATGCAATATCTCCCATGCTCAAGTTATTCACAAGCTATGTTAAAAATTCATTTTTAACTCAGCTTGTGAATAACTTGAGCATAGCACTGAATAACTTTAAAGTGAATAACTTTAGCATAGCATGGAACTCTTAATTGCGTTCTAATCCAGAACTTGTAGTAGATTATGTATACTGGTCTACAAGATAAAATCAAGCAAGTTTAAAAATCAAGCAAGGTGACATCTTAAAAAAAAGTCAATATATATTTAAGAGTAAAGCAGCCACAGTATAAAATTTTTATCTCCAAGAAAAGACTAACACTAGATATAGTCTTTGTAAAATAGTATTAGATATAGAAATACATTTTAGGAGCTCTCTAAATGTAATAAAAAGTGATATATTAATATACTATACTAAATTATAATATATAATAAGAAAGAAAGAAAGAGAGAGAGAGAGAGAGAGAGAGAGAGAGAGAGAGAGAGAGAGAGAGAGAGAAAAGAAAGGAAGGAAGGAAGGAAGGAAGGAGGGAGGGATCCAAGATCAGCCAGGTGGTTCTATGCTTAAAGCAAAACTAGAATTTATGGTCTCCCAGTTTGTAAACTTTCTGGTTTCTAGCACAGTGCCTTAACCACTACACCAAACTGGATCAATTTGATTTATGAAATAGTTTGACTAATTTTATATTTTCTATGTCACTTCCAATTATGTTGGGAAGATATTAATTTCTGATTACACACACACACAGCTTTCAGATATTCAAATCTGAATTAAGTGAAACCTAACAAGAAAATCCAGTAAGACAACTGAACCAAACCTATTCATTAATTTGTTTACCAGTCAATCCAGATTTTCAATATAAGAACCTCAGCAGCCATATCTGACTGTTGACCTATCCTAAATGAAGCTTCAATTTACAACTTTGATTATTATAAACGTAGGTTTTTGAAAAAACTAGGAACTAGTTTGTCTAGATTTCCTCAACACAAGATGTGTGTTTAAAATACTGTTCTTTATTCAACAACTGTCCCTGGACTGTACTCCAGACATGTTACTGCTTTCTTTTCTTCAGTATGAAATTATCAGTAGCACAATCTGAAGAGAGTTAAATAATTTTATGTTTAATTGAACCAGTCAGCAAAATCACCATTTGTCACATTTTAAAAGAAACTGTTCCAGTCAAAAAAAAAAAGGTTTTAAGCTAAATAAACTATAATATTGGTGACATATGCAATTTATAAGTTTTTATTATATACAAAATTCTTACTAAAATACTTGTACAGGTAGTCCTCAGTTTACAAGCAGTTCATTACTGATCGTTCAAAGTTACAATAGCACTAAAGAAAGTGACTTATGACCATTTTTCACACTTATGACTGTTACAGCATCCTCAGGGTCCTGTGATTTACATTTGCATGCTTGGCAACTGATTCATATTTATGATGGTCATATTGTCCCAGGGTCATGTGATCTCCTTCTGACAAGCAAAGTCAATGGGGAAACCAGATTTACTTAACAACCATGTTACTAATTTAACAACTGCAGTGATTCACTTAACAAACGTGGAAAGAAAAAACGTAAAATGGGGCAAAACATCTCACTTAGCAATATAAATTTTGGGCTCAATTGTGGTTATAAATCAAGGATTACCTACACCCTATCTTGCATATTACTTTTGTTTTTAGTGCTGTATGTATTATTTTAATTTTGGATTGTAAACTGCCCAATTTTGATTTAAGATGGGCAGCTATATAAATGCAATCATTATTATCCTATAATTTCATATTAAATCTCAAATGTTTTTAAGATTAAATTATCACTATTTACAATGTACTACTTAAGTTTCTCAGTCATACTATGCAACCTACGACCTATGCAACCATACTATGAACCCTGATGTTTACAAATCACAATACATGGTTTTGTGAGATATGTGAGCTAAAGACTTGGAAATTGTTAAATATCATTTAATTTTTTTACTCAATAAATTTATAAGCAAATAAAGATTTTCTCAGACTAATCCTGTATTTTCCACATAAACCATAATTTTCTCATCTGGCCCAAGCAAACATTGCAATAATGCTTTTAGTTTCTAACTGCAGACATAACTATAAAAAACATTCACCACACACAGGGTTTTTGTGGCACACTAAGCACCATGCAAACTGGTTGAGCAAGTGCCAGAGGCCAACTAATGGATTACATCATCAAACTACATTGTTTAATTCTCCACCCATGTAAAAATTAGTTAACTATGCCTTTTTTACTCCCTTTCTCCACAAGCCTTTTTCATTTAAGAAAAATATTTTAATTTACTTCAAATGGACATTCACTAGTACTGTATTGTTTAAAGGAAAGCTAACATAACCAAAACATTTTATTGGCGGAAAAAAACTATTTCCTCATCAGTTACAAGCACATTATTCAAAAGATATAAATAAATCTACTTTAGCCATGAATATATTTTTTTTAATTTATATCCTGCTTTTATATAGGAGTTCAAGGCTTTCCCTCAATATAATTGTCTTGAGATACTTAGGCTAGAAAGTATGACTGGCCCACTCCGAGACCAGATACTGGGATAACAAACCATTTTGTCCCCAACTCCCTTTCTTCTCTTAACTGAACAAGGACCTTCAATTTAGGAAAGTGGACATACTGGTGCAAATGAAGAGATAGTTTTGGGTAGATCAGATTTCAGGAAATCTGTATCAGTTTTAAATAAAAATATTTTGAATTTCAAAATAACATGCCTGGATTATTGCAGTGTACTCTACATGTAAACTCTAATTTTTAAAATTCTATGTTAATATTTGTCTGAATTAAATATTAAATATTTTTAATCTGTTTTCTATCAGATACATTTTAGAATGGAGTTTTTAATGTAAAGAACCAATATTTCATTTTTACAAATATTATGGCCAATAACAAATTAATAAAATATATTTTAATTTAGTAAGATGGTCTTTAAAAATATGCATTGTAAACACCTAAACTAAGAGTTGGTGTTTTACAGACAAGCACGCAAAAATGTTCTGCTTTGTAGATTTTTGTGTTACAATCTGAAAAGGGCAAGTGATATAAAATTTATCTACATAGCCCAGAAAATTTTTTTATATTCAGCATTACTTATGGTAAAAATGGCAACAGAAAAGATTCAATGTCCACATCATAATGACACTTTTGTTTGGGATAGAATATTTTGACTTTATTTTACTTGTAAAACTAATGAGAAAACATAAAATGTTGATGTTTCTGACTGACAGAATTATAACTTTTAATTTGCTTCTTAAACTCCTCATTTCATCTTTCAGTGTTCATAAATCAGACAGCAGAGCATGTCTGATTAATATTGATCAGGCATCACTTGATTGTAGCCTTTATCTTTAAAAATGTTTTAAAGAAGAGCAACAGACTAATACAAACACAGCTTAGCTTTCCAATTAAGACAGGTTCTATGATGAATTATCTTAGAACAGTGATGGCAAACCTTTTAGAGACCGAGTGCCCAAACTGCAAC